TCCAAATCACATCCCGCACGCATGGATGACCCAAATACGTTCCTCTCAGGCGTGATCGAACGGTCAGATTCCATCCAATCGTGCAGTTCAGATTCATTCCCTGAATAAAAAGGATCCAACGGATGAGAGAGAGTCACGTGTCTCCGCACGGACGCCCCAGAACAACTCGAAGAGGGTATTGAAACATCGCGTTCCAGGGACCCTAGCCCTAGCCACACCAGCCCTCGTCGAAGAAGAAAAAGAAGGGTGGCTGAAAAAAAAAATCAACGGTCATCGCCGTCACAACAGAACCATCGCTGAACGCCAAAAAATGTAAAATTTTCTTTTTTCTATTCAGAATTTGATCTCGAGTTTCCTTATACCCAAATCAGAGCGAAAGAGTCGATGGGTGAGATGAAAACCTCGAGCAAAGCTCGGTCGAACTGCTGCAACCAAAACCCAAAACCCTCTCTAATGACCCCCTTCCCATTTTCCATTTCACGTAATTTTATGACCATCGTGTCCACCGTCTTTTTCTGGTGCAGTTTCGCAGAAAAAGAACCCCAGCCGCGAAGGAGAACTGGCGGAGCCGCCACACCAGAGGACTCCCTGCCGATTAAGTTTCGATTTTTCGCATTTTTTGACCAACCGAGGCTTCTTAACTCGTTTTTTCGCAGGTTTACGCGTAAAACCGGCCAAAAGCAACCTAAATCATCCGAAATCGGTCAGGCCGAGGTGAACCGCTGTAGTCGACGCCGGAGCAATGAAACGTCGCCGTGTCAGAACCCTAAAATTTGCCATAAAGGTTTTAAAATGTCTATTCTAGCCTTTCAAGATATTTTTAGATACTTAACATATGTTTTAATTTTCACCAAAAAAAATTCAAGAAACCTGGGGACCGTCAGGAGGTGCAATAGATAGTACAGTATTTCGAATACCAATCCGGGATAAGAATCTCTCACCATATTCTCTGTTACATAAATTGAAGCTTAATAATCGATAGTACTATATTTTATGAAAATTAGAAAATCTTAAGAATAATTTACAGGTCACGGATGGGCCGGAACCGGTCAGTTCATGTTTGCCCTAATTTATTGTTTATTTTACCTGTATTGCTTAAAATGCTTACTATTATATTATGTAAATTAAATTGATAGACTTAATTGCTCTCTCGATTATTTAGTTTACCTCACTGCATACCCCCCACTTATTAGTTCATTTTTGGAATAAATATTTCAGTTATGTTTCCTGATATACGTATCGCCTATTTGCATGACTTACTATTGATCTGTAAATATAAGTTATTGGTATGTAACTGGTAATTAATTTATGCTTTGAATCTATGTAAGAAAAGCTTACTGGGTACTGTAAGAAATGATGAACGGATCCGATATATAGGGAACCCTACTATGGACATTGTTTCAGTTAAACGGGGCTGAGAAGTCTCATACTGGAAGGGTTTGAGAAATTTGGTTCCCTTATATCGGACGGGGTATCAAAACAATGGTGTATTTAACGTCTATTATCAAACGGTGTATGGGGATGGCCAGGTTAAGTGACGAATATGAATATTGGGTTCACGAGTAAAAAAATATCCCTATGGACCCCTAGGAGTTCCAATAAGCAGGTAAAAAGGAAATTTTGTTGTTCTTGCTCCCTTGTAAATGAAATCATGATGTTATCTGAGTAATTGTCATTATATGTTGATTTTGAAAAACTCGTAACAGTAATTATGAAATAAACGGTTTTATTATGTTAAATAAATTTACTTAAATTAAAGGCTCCATTAATTGTTTTATATTTTTTTTACCAAAATTATATTTTCATATCAGTGATTAGTGCGATATTCTTACTGAACTAGTGTAGCTCACCCTCCTATTAACCATTTCAGATCAAGAAGACCAAAATCTAGATCATGATCAACAGGAGGGTTGTGAGTAGGTTTCCTCCTAAACCCCATCAAGTACTAGTGGAAGTTAACCCCTAGGATATTTATTTACTATTTTCAGTTTTTTATTTCATTTCTATTTACGAACCGCTGTAAAAGATGCATTCTGTAGCGTTATTGGGCACTCTAATTTACAGTGTAAGGATAAAAACTCTAATTATTGTTTGCTTATGCTATTTTAATATATATTCACTTCCTTAAGGTATTCGGGCCTTTACTTGAATATAACCTGATATTCAACCCTCTCTTGTAAAATGCAGGTATAAGGATATGAAGAGAGGAAGACCCCCACTAAACCGAGCAACTCAGGATGGGTCACTTCGAGAGGATGTCGATCGACTATTTGAGATGCTGGAGAGATTTATCTTCGCCCAGCAAGTCTATGAAGAAAGGAGGGACCCCTATAACAAGAAGATCTGGTGCCACCCTAATACAACTTTGCTCCTCCACCATATCATCCAGCACCACTACAATCAGGTGCTGCTACAGGGCTGTCTGGCGCCTCTCTAGCATAATCCAGTCCCTCTTCCATGGGACTTAGTTCCACCCATGATGGACGCAGACCATATTTAGAGGTATAAAAGACTAAACTCATCTACCTTTACAATAGCATCCTCCTTTGAAGAGGTCGAGTATTAGTTAACAAAGACAGAGAATGCCTTTGCAACTCTTGGAGTGGTTCCAAAACAGAAGGTTGTACTTGCCACTTACATGCTTGTGGGTGAGGCAGGTCGTTAGTGGTAATTGAGGCAGGCCACATTGCCCCTTCTAGTCATTTGGGAATAGTTCCTTGTAGCTTTTAATGCAGAGTACCTTTTAAATCATCTTCAATATTTGAAAGAAATAAAGTTTACACACCTGGTTCAGGATGATATGACAATGTCAGAGTATACCCGAAAGTTTCAAGAGTTGGACCGGTATTCTCTTGAGAGTATGATGGATAAAGTAAAAAAGGTAAGGAAGTTTAAATGGTACCTCCGTCTTGAGATCAGCAACAACTGTATGTGTTCGAACTCAACACTTACTCAGCGATTCTGGTCAAGGCACAACTGGTAGAGAGAAACCTTCATATCTTCCCTCTAACAGTGGGCAATTTCAGACCCTCGGTTCCACACTGCAGACCAACACCTAATGTACTGGTTCAGCAGAATAAGAGACATAAACTTGTGA